CTCACTTCTGAAGTGGCCAGCACAAACACACTCCTAGAGCTATCTATGTAGGTGGCACACGTTCGATGACTTCCATTTTCAGCTATTGTCCTGAAGTGGATATTTCTGGCATGGTTCCATTAATATGGACCAGGATGAAAGGTGGTGAGTGTTGAAGACCCTCCAGCTCAGAGGCACTTGAAATGCCAAGCAATATGATGGAAAGTAATGGATTTTGAGGTGGAGGTCCTGGGTTCGAAACCCAACTCTGATACCAACTCTTAGTATGACTGACTTTGGGCAAGTAACTTTACTACTCTAGGGCTCTGTGAGAAGTTGGACTAGATGATCCTAGGGGCTGGGCCTAGAGTTGGAAAGACCTTAATCCAGCACTTCCTAGCTGTGTGATCCTGGTCAAGTCACTTCTCTTTGCCTCAGTTTCCTTAATAGTAAAATGAGGATAACAGTGCCTTCCTCCTGGGGTGGTTGTAAGGATAAGATGAGGTGATACTTGTAAAGTGCTTAGCATGGTGTCTGGTACATAGTAGGTGCTTAATAAATCAATCCTTTCTTCCTCCCTTTCTTCTCTCCTCTTCCTTCCTTTATTTCTCTCTCCCTCCCTCCTCTGAAGTGTCTTCCAGTTCTAAATATATAAGCCTATGATCCTATAATAGTGCTTTACGTATATAAATATATATATATATGTATATATATATATATATAGAACATAAATATATATCTATATAGTGTTTTAGGGTTTGCAAAATGCTTTACAAATATTGTATCCTTTTGCCCCTGCCATAACCCAAGGAAGGAGGTGCTACTATTAACAGTGAGGAAACTCAGGCTCAAAGAAGTTAAAAGTGACTTGTCCACGGTCTCAGGCTGGATTTGAACTAAGGTCTCCCTGACTCTAGGGCTACTGCTCTATCCACTGTGCTCCCTAACTGCCTTTATGGCTGTAGATTCAGATTTAGGCTAAAAGAGTCTGATAAATTACTAGTCACAGTCCTGGGCTCTCTATTATCAGCTTAACATGTTTCTGTGCTTACTACAGAACCTGGCATACAGAAGGTGCTTAATAAATGATTATGGGCTGAATGATTTTGCTACTCACACGGGTTCTAGCCCATCATCCATTCTTCTCTACTGCATATTCGAATGGGTCAGATCCACACTGTCACCCACCCAAAATCCTAGGGATCACTGGATTACCTTAGTTTTGACATAATATCAATGGGCTTGCAAAGACAAAATTTGGCTTATATACTCTGCCTGAGTCTGTGACCCTTTCTCCCTTCCTAGACATCTCTACTTTCTCTTATGGCCACCATATCACAAGAAAAAGAACGTCTAAGCATTGGCCCATGGCAAACACTTTCCTAATTGGCGTTTTTTTTTTTTAATATGGAATAAAAGCAAAATTAGAATAGAAAGACAGAATATATTCAACAGAGCTGAGGAAAGACTTTTTTTTTTAAACCACAGGCACATTCAAAACACTGTGCTTCCTCTGACTCATTTTGAAAATGATGTCCTCTCTGTGTTACTACATAGCAAAAGCTTCGGGCCTTCTCATTAACATATATGACATCACCAGAATGAATTCCAACATGTGGCACTTTATGACATTAAAATCATGTGTCACTCTTAAACTTCTATTACCTGCCCCCTTGGCCTCGCCATAACCTACATACCTGTCCTACTCCCATGATCTAGAACAATCGAATTTCTCTTTTGGGTCACGACTTCCTATCTATCCTTCTGCCTCTCCCTCTGCTTCACTCCCCCTTAAACTTTTTCTTTATCCTCACTGTGACTTCTGGTCATCTAACCCTAATTGTTCATTATCTTTGATCTGGGTTCATTTTCTTTTTGTAACTGTTAAATGCCAAAGTGAGGAATTTGTAGTCTTGACCTTTTAGTTAATTAACTATACATTGTCCTTTTACTCTCGAATCTTTTGACCCTTTGTTCTATCACCACTCATGCCCTGCAAAATGATAAGCCTGGGTTACCCCCACCATCAATGCCTTCTACTCATATCTTGCTAAAAGCAAATGGAAAAGCCATGCAACTGTGCTAACCAGACCCACTACAAATTTCTGCGCTCAAATTTCAGATGAATTCCTAGTGTTACACAACAACCCTTTTATTCTTCCCTGATTGATTCTCTCCTACACTCTTCACAATATCTGTCCCAATCTTTTCTTTAAGGATCTTATTTCCACCTTTCCCTCTTCTCTGTTGCTACTGAGAGAACAGAAGCCATCCACTGTGTACTTCCTCTTCTCCCCTATCCTATATGCCCAAATCCTTCTTCATTACTCCTACCACTATTCTTTCCTGCTTTATTCTAGACTGAGAGGGAGGGGTGGCTTTTCTTCTCGTCAAGGGTAATCCCTTTCCTTGTGCTTTTGATCTCACCATTTCCCATCTCCTTCAGAAGCACGCACCTTTGATCTTTCTCTTTGCCCCTTCTCTCTTCAATTTATCCTTACTGACGGTCTCTTTCCCTGCTGCTTTATAAACATGTCCAGGTCTCCCTCTGCAGTGGCTGAAAAGGATCTTTAAAAATCCTTTAGCCAAGTGTGCCACCTCCTCCTTATCCTTTTATACCTCTCCTCCATTTCATAGCCAAAACTCCTAAAAACAGCCATCTACATTCATCTGCAATTCTTCATCTCCCTCTTACTTCTAAATCTCTTACAATTTAGCATGACACTAAAACTCAAATGGATTTAATCTTTTTTTTAAAAAAATTATTTTACTCCTTTGGTTTTTACTTCATATCCACTACTCCTTCCTTCCTTCTACTCCCTTCTCTCCTAATGTTTATTTGTGAATATATTTTCCCTTTATCCCTTACCCAGGAAATCATCTCTCGGGATCAAAGATTAAAAAAAAGCAAAAATAAAAAGCAGTTCAGAACAAAATTAACCAACATATTAACCATGTAGAGAAAAGCATATGCAATTAAAAAAACAAAGAAGAGAAAAAAAAGAGGGTCACTGAAGCATCTTTTTTTTTTAATGCAGAGAACGAAGAAAGACCTGAAAGAGGCAAAGACAACTTTGAAAAGCTGCTACATGAACTTATTATATACTTAAAAAAGAAAAACAAATTGTATTTAATAGTGATACTCTTATTCTGTTCTACTATAGATGTGGACATGCACATTTTTTTGGTGCTTAAGTTCAGGAAAAAAGTAAAAATAAAAAAATTTTAAAAAATTTTGAAAAGAGAGTCTATGTATGCCATACTACAGATCCCAGGTTTCCCACCTCTGCAATGAAGGGAGGGAGATACATTTTCTCTACTCTTCTCCAGGACCAAACTTGGTCATCATAATTGCATTGTATTGAATTTTGTTTTTGGTTATGTTCATTTACGTTACTGTAGTCGTTATGTCTATTTTTTCCTGGTTCTGTTTATGTCACTACTCAACAGTTCATGTAAGCGCTTCTCTGAATTTTCCCTATTTCTTACAGCATAGCAATATCATTACACTCACACATTAGTAAGTCATTCCCCAACCAATGTTATCTTAATTATTCAACATGGTGACCTTGTCTCAGTCCTCATGCTTACCTCCCTGCGGTTGGGGACACTGCTGATCACTCCCTCCTGAATATTCTCTCTTCCATCAGCTTTTGTGACATTGGTATGCTCTCTCTCTGCCTCCTCTCATCACCTCTATCACCTTTCATATGGATGACAGCAACAGCCTTCAAATTGATCTCCCTGCCTCTAAATCCTCCCATCTACATTTTAACTTTCACATAACTGCTAAAATATCTCCCTTAAAAATGAGTCTGACCATGTGTCTTTCTTACTCAACTTCTATAGCTCCTTTTTGCTTCTCAGATAAAATACAATGCAGCTTGGTGTTTAAAATACTTTACAATCTGGCCTTTAGCCTACCTTCCTACACTTAGTTCACATCACTCCCCAAATGTGCCTATTTGTGGGACTTGCTCTCCAATCCCTCGCTGCCCTGACTTTGAACAAACTGTTGACCCCCCTCCTCCTACCGTCATCCCTGGTGGGCATGCCTTCTCTACCTCTTCTCCTCAGAATCCTTATCTTTCTTCAAGTGTGACCTCCATGGGAAGTTATTCCTGACCTGCCTCCTCAAACCATCTTGCATTTATTTATCTGTTTACATACTGTATCCCCAGTGGAATATAAGCTCCTTAAAGACACCAATATTTTCTTTTTGGTTTGTTTTTGTAACCCCAGAGCCAAGCATGTGTTCCTTTCACACAGTAATTACTTAATACATGTTTGGTGAATAGAAAAAAGGCCTCAGTGCCTAATAAGGAAAGATTACAAACTGGTCACATATCATATGAAGATTGGCTGGAGGACCTGGATGTGCTCAGTTGGGAGAAAAGAAGACTTAGGGGAGGTATGGCAGCTGTCTTAAACACCATGAGGAAGGGGGATCTCAGTTGCTCTGTTTGGCCCCAAAGGGTAGAAGTTGAACATTACCCAATTTTTACTTCCTCATAATCAGAGCTGCATAAAAGTAGAATGATTCACCTCAATCCCAGGTGGTGGGCTTCCCCTGGATGGAAATCTTTAGGAAGAGTCTGGACAATTGCTTGCTAAGGATGCTATACTGGGGATTCCTTTCATTTATGGGCTGGACTAGACAGCTGATTAGATCCCTCCCAATTCTCAAATTCTGTGACTCTGACGACAGTTGCCAGAGTAGGTGGAATGGGACACTCAATTACATCTTGGAGACAGAAACAAGTTAATAATCTTAAGTTCACCAATGCAGAGCTGGAAGGGACTTCTAAGGCCATATAGTTCAACCTTATTATTTTACAGATGACGAACCTAAGGCTTAGGGAGGAAGAGTCCCTTTCCAGAATGGAAACACCAGTCTGCTTACTAAATCCTGTGCTGTTCCCACTATAACACCAATGCTAAGCTTTTGACTGCCAATAAAGTCACCAGGAGACTCAGATCCCACTTTCAGGTAAAATAGTCATAATAAGAGTTGCTCTTACTTTCGACGAAACATTTCTGCAAATATGCAGCCAACACTCCATAGGTCCACTGGCGTGGCATAACTGGACTGAAGCAAGACTTCAGGCGCTCTGTACCATAAAGTGACAACCTGCAAAAGACAGAAAAATACATGAAGTAGAAAATAATCATTTCCTTTACTGCCAATGCCCCCCATCTTAGTTGATGCCAAGATCCAACGAAGAAAGAATCTCCATAAAATTCTTCAGAGTACTACAACCAAAGCAGGATTTTTTAGAAAAAGAGGAATTTTGCAGGGACTGTGAGCACATCAAGTGACTCACCGGAAACTTTACAGCTCTTAACATAGTGCCTGGCATGCAGCAGGCATTTAATGAATGCTGACTGACTGACTTCAGTCTTATCTCAGAGCCTGGTGCTGACTCAGGACAATAAAATGACAGAAGGAAATTTTGGAGAGAAAGTCTCTCAAAAAAAGAGCAAGCTTTCTATTGACTTTAGGGACCCTTGTCTTAAAATCAGTACGTTTCCCTGAAGTCACTAGAAAAGGCATCTAGGGAGCAGCAACTTGGTAAAGAAGAGATAGCTTTGGAAATTGGAAAGTGCAAGAGTTACAGGATCACATAGTTAGAGATGGGAGACGGTTTAGACGCTATCTAGTTGAACACTCTTGTTTTACAGAAAAGTAAGCTGAGGGCCAGAGAGGTTAGAGGTCATGCAGGTAGTAAGTAGCAGAGTCAAGATCTGAGCCCCAGTCCTCTGATTCTATACATCCAGCACTCCTTTCGATGGCACTACTCTGCTTGGGTACCGGGGACCTTTTAAAGTCTAAATTACAGGTGCTGAGTCAAAGTAAGCTTTTAGCGAGAGAACGTGATAAACTAAACAAAGCCGCCTGACAAGATACCAAACGTTCCAACTCCCTACAGAACAACAAATCCGTTTTCTTAAGAAAATATTAACATATATTTCAAAAATCACTTGGGACCAAATAATTGCGAGAGTGTTTTTAAAATTTAAAAAGTATGATTTTAAAATGACCAGCAATCATTCCTAGTCTGAGGGTAAGAAAAACAGACTAGCTCTAACCATTTTCATCTTTATCTAATTAAATTCAAGCATTTATTAAGTGCCTACTATAGGCAAAGGCACAAGGAAAAAACAGTTTCAGCCCTGAAGGACTTTACATTCTACTGGGGTATGTACACAGAAAAGTTCAATACAAGATAATTTTAAGATGGAGGGGGATCAGAATAGGCTTCCTGTAAGGGGTGCCTATGGATGCCAGGAGGGAGATGAAGAAGGAACGGAACCTGTGTAAAGGCAGAAGATGGAACTGAATTTGGGAAACATTACGTAGTTGTGTGTGTGAAGGACAATGTGAAATGTCTGGACAGGTGGTCTAGAGACAGATTGTGAGCCAGGGAGTGACGTAGTCAAATCCTTGTTTTGGGAAGATTCTTTTGGTACTCGAATGGCTGCCATCTTTGGAGGAACTGCTGACTAGTGTTGCATACAGCAGTGGTGGGGTACTGTTAGAGATGTTAAATGGATGCTACTCAAAAGTGGAAATATTTGTTGGAAGTGAGGTGAAGATGCCAAGATGCTCAGAATGTCCAGAGGCCAAGACATAAAACCGAGGTGCTGATCACTCTGCTTTCAATTCACAGCATCTTAAAGGGACTCAGGGGCTACCCAGTCCAACCTGTAACAAGCATCTCCTCACAACATTCCAAGTATGGTCAACTAGCCTTTGAGGGAAGACCTCTAGTGAAGAGGAGCCCATTACCTCTGCAAATAGCCCATTTTACTTTTATACATTTTGAAGTTTTCTCTAACACCGAGTTGAAATCTGCCACTCTGCATCATTCACGCCTTATTGCCAGTTCCACCCTGGACGACAAAGAGCAAACATAATCTTTCTTCTTCAGTAAAGACCCTTTAAATACTTAGAAGTAGCCATCAGACACATCTCCCTAAGTTTTCTCTTTTCCAGGCGAATCACCTCCAATTCCTTCAACTGATCATCAAATGGCATGACCTCAGAAGCCTTTGTTATTTTCCTCTGGACACACTCTAATTTGGTAATGTCCTAAGATGCAATGCCCACACACATGGACACAGTATTTCCATATGTGGTCTAAACAGGGCTCACTACAGTAGGATCATTACTTCCATTGATGCAGGTACCCTACCTTTCTTAAATCAGCTTAAGACTGCACTAGTTTTTAAAATTCAGTTTAATTTATTACGTTCCATATTTGCTGGCATGTTAACGGAGACATGTATTATTGGAAAAGATGGTCCTGTTACATGGTGAGAATGAGAGATACTGATGGAAAGCTCTTAGGCTCCATTTATCAACCTATACCACGTCAAGAGATAAGGAGGAGCTTAGTAGTATGTTCCAGGGAGGAACTGACAAGAGTCACACAGAATGGCAAGGTGTGGATGGGTTATGGCTAGCACCATGGGAAAGAGTATTTAGACTGATGACATCTAAGATGATAGGATCACAGATTTAAGCCAGAAGGACCTTCAATCCAGTCTGATTCCCCTCATTTTACCGAGGCATAGAGAAGTTAGATAACTTGTCTCACATCATACCACCACAAAGTATCTGAGGCAAGACTTAAATCCGAGTCTTCCTGACTTCAGGACCTTATGGGATGAAAAGAAAAGTTCATATTCTACAGCATTCTGAGTTCACAATCTTTTCGTGGTCCCTATAATACACCCAAAGCAATAGGTGCTTCCTCTTACAACGAGTTTTAAAAGGGCCTTATTTTCTTGGCCGTCACGTCTTTAATCAGTGATGCTTATTCCTGCTGCCAAAGGTGTCTTCTTAATTTTCCTGTAACCATTCAAAATAGCTCTTGACAAACAAGAAAAGAAACAGGTCTTATTTATTAGACAGAATAAATAAGTTAAAATTGAACTTACAAAGTTTTAAAGTGTTTTCAAAAGAACTTTCAAGTTTCTTTGGCAGTACTTAGCATAGTACCTGGTGAATAGTAGGCATTTAATAAAAGGTTACTGACTGATTGGTTGAGTCTTAAGTGATTTTTAAAATATGTATCTTAAGAAAGTAGATTTGCTGTTTCCTAGTTTGGTTTCTGAAGCATGACCCCAGCTTGGAATGATACCTACCCATTCATCTTATTTAATAACTTTAGTTTGGTTTTAGACTTAGTCTCCTGCTCCCCTTGACCTTGTCTGAAGCCTGGTGGGCATGGGGTTGGAGGATCCAGATGAACTGGGGCTAGAAAACTTTCTGTCAATGATCTTAAAGAAGCAAAAGAGCAATTGAGATAGTTATTAGAGTAATGAGCAGGAAAGCCTAAGACAGAAGGTAGTTTCAAGGACTAGAAGGATAATTTGGCAACAAAATATTAACAAGATAAAAGGGACAGTCTGGAAACAAAGTGCAAGGTCAGTCTAAACACAAAGAAAGACACACACACACACACACACACACACACACACACACACACACACACATCCAATAAGGTCTGAGCCTGATCAATGAGAAGTCACCTATTAGGTCCTATACAACAAGGCCCATGTGCCTGTGTACTAAGTACGAACACAAGCACAGCACGCTACTCTACCCGCTTCTTTCTCCTCTGAATGAGCTTCAGCCTTGGACAGCTCCTGGCAGCCAGCAATAGTTCCCAAATGGGAAACAGCTGTGTCAGAGTGGTGATGGATAGTCCCTAGTATCTCATTTATATTTCTTACCATTTTGCCTTCTAATGGCGGTGTGCGTGGGGGGCAAAATGATGAGCAAATTCATGAATTAGGGTCAGAGTAGAAGGTCTCTGAGGTCCCTTCTTGCCCTAAATCTATAATTCTAAGTTGTTTACATGTCACTATCAATTATCATCCTATACTTCAAAATACTCCTATATTCAAAAATTCAGCATTGCTATCTAATTGGTCACATATTTACCTGCAAGTTGAGCAAGCTGATCAACTATTCTGAAGATGCCTACAAACTATGATGATTTTTTTCAAAAGAATACAACTAAATTTAAAAGCACAATACTCTCAAACCCACTGTTCATGGAGGTGGAAAGTCCATAGATGCTGAATGCTGCCCTCCCCTACCTTGCCCTACCTATCTTTCCAGCCTCCTTGTAGATCATTCTCCCAACCAGTGTGGGATCCAGTCAAACTGGTCTCTTCTCTGAGTCTTTACTCACAACACTCCTCCTCCCCTCTCCACGCTAGCCCAAATATCACAGTTTTACAGGAAGCTTTTGCTGATCCCATCAATAGCTAGCGTCCTCCCCCTCCTCAAGGTACTTTGTATTTTGTTCATTTTTATTTTAGTCTCTTTAAATTTATTCAGTATATATTTATGTATGTCCTTATTATTTCCCCAATTAGAATGTAAGCGCTCAGTGAGTGGGGAGTGTGTCATTCATTGTACGTGCGTGTCCTCATGAGCAGGCACAGTTTCATTCATCCAGCACTAAGCACTGGACCTGGCACATAGCAGGTGCTTTTAAAAAAATTCCTTATTGATCATTCTAAATATGCCATGAGGTCTTTTACTCTCTCTTTAAAAAAATCATTCTATCCTGCATAACTCTTCTGTTATCTGACCCAGGTCCGTTCAGTTCATTTTTTCATATTTAGCACAACTTAATTTTAAATATCTCAAATAATGAGATTTCAGTCACCTATCTTCTGCAATTCCAATGGATTTCCAATTTTCACCATAACCAACCTGGGTCTTCTGTTTCCCCCTAAAAACCAATTCCGTAAATCCTTTAGATCCTAAATTATTTTCACATTGCATTATTAAAATACCTGGAATAAGCAAATTTCTTCAATTATATCAGTATAGGCCATTGGGAATGGAATTTAAAAAAAAATACGGAATGATTCACAAATTTGCATGTCATCCTTGCCCAGGGGCCATGCTAATCTTCTCTGTATTGTTCCAATTTTAGTATATGCGCTGCCGAAGCGAGCAGAGGAATGGAAATTTATTGATTTCATTTTTTTTAGTACATTTTAAGGAATCACGGATTCTCCATGTGATAGACAACCCAAGGCTCTTTCATAGCGTTTTAAGGTTTAGAACACAGAATAAAAACATTCATAAACTAAAAATTAATA